TATATTATATAATATAGAACCAACATCTGGTTTGGATAGTACATCAGCTGTAGCATTGGTTGAAGTTCTTCGTGAATTAGCAATGGCAGGTAAAACAGTTATCACATCTATCCATCAGCCATCATCACAAATATTTCAATCATTTGATCAACTTATATTATTAGCTGATGGAAAAACTATTTTTATGGTAGATAGACTAAATTTAATATTTTGTTTTATTGTAAGTAGTTTTGTATTTATTTATGAATAGGGTAAACCATCAAATGCTCTTGCTTACTTTGGAACTATGGGTCATCAATCACCTGCACAATATAATCCAGCAGATTATGTGATGGATCTTGTCAATCAAGATATGAAGATTCGTGAAGAACTAAAAGAAGCATATCTTCAGAATCGGACGATTGAAGGTCAACCACGACCATCAAACATTGGAACTCAATATTTAGTAGCTGAACCATCTGGAAAAGAATCAGATTTGACAAATCCAGATAATGTAAATTTGATTCCAGATAAACATGAAGGAAAATGGCCAATAGGATTTCTTGCACAAATGTTAATTCTTTTCTCACGTAGTTTTCGATTAACTGGAAAAGCTCAATTCACAATTCTTAATTTTGCACAAGCACTAAGTCTTGCTGTCGTCTGTGGTCTATGTTGGTTACAAATGGATTATAATGAAAGTACAATACCTGATCGATCATCATTCATGTTTTTTCTGATGACTTTCTGGCCTTTACAAACATTAATGATGGGTTTATTATCGTTTCCATTTGAACGTGGTGTTATCGAGAAAGAACGAGCTAGTGGATCATTTCGTTTATCAGCTTATTTTGTTGCCAAATCACTTTCTGAAGCACCATTAAAACTAGTTTTACCAACATTATTTTTAATAATTGCTTATTGGATGGCCAGAGTTAATAATAGTTTTCCAATCTTTCTTGCCATTTTAGTATTTCAGCTCTTATCAATTCTTGTGGCTGAATCACTTGGTCTTTTATTAGGTGCTGCATTTAAAAATCTTCATCATGCAATCACAGTGGCGACAGTAACACTTATGACTTTCATGTTAGTTGGAGGATTTTTTGTCCGTAGTCTTCCACATTGGTTAGGTGTATGGGGCAAATGGTTATCATTTTTCAAATATTCTTATAATGCATGTCTTCAATTGGAATTTAAAGGTGGACAAATATATAAATGTGTCGATGGATCTTATGTAGCTTCTTGTATAAATAATCCAAATGGAACATTTGTTAGTCATGAAGCATTACAATATTTCGATTATGGCATTGGTATCGGTTGGAATTTTTTAGTTCTTTTTGGCATGTTTGTAGTGTTTCGTACAGCTGCATA